GGCCAGCCTGCCTGACCTGCCCTCCATCCACACCTTCCTGCCGCAGATCGAGGTAAGAGGGAGGGCTGGCCATGAAGCCGTCGGCTACCAGCCAAGCATGGCACCTGTCACCCTCGCAGGACAGGCGTGTTCCGGGCCCTCTGACATCTGGGCGGAGCTCACTGCCCCGGGTCTGGCACAGGAGTCCTGTGTGCCCAGGACATACCAACAGGGGAGACAAAGGTCCTGTTCAGAGGCAGATCTGGTGCCTGGGTGACCCCCTTCTACCTGCTACCTCCGCCCAGACCCCCCTCCCAGGAAGGCCACAGTCTGAGGTGGGGCAGGGTTGGACTTCTCCAAACCTTTGGGGGCGGACACAATTCAACCCAGGGCCGCCGGTTAAACGCTGCAGCTGAGAAGGGCTGACTTTCCTTGTGTGTCCGCAGTGGGTCCTGCACGCTAAGGGCTCCATAGGCATCGTCTCGTTTAGGCCTCCTGACAACCCCAAGAGCTGGGGTGTGAGCACCCCTACTTTACAGATGAGGAGCCTGAGGCTCAGAACTGCCCCAGGCCTCCCAGCTAGGATATAGTCCAGTTCATGGTCACAGCTCCCCAGCCTGCATGCTGAACCCTGTGCTGTTATGTCTGCGTTTGGTGAAAAGGGGGTGCAGGTGACCCCTACCTCCTGAGGCCTGACCTCTGGGTGGTCGATCACAAAGCGCATGCCCTCATCTGCAGGATACGCATGCGTGTTTATGTGTCAGCCATGTTTATGCTGCTCTCCCTCCAGAGACTCCCGTGGCCCTTCCAGGGAGGTTGTGAGTACTGCCTCCTCTGAGGAGCCTTCCAGGATTTCTCCACCCAGGAAATCCACTCCTGCCCTGGACACCCACTCGGCTGACACTTTAGGAAAACACTCACTGTCAGCCTGGCTTGCAATTACCTGCCTGGGTTGGTCTTTGCTCCCCCTGTCCCAGCCCTGAGCCTCGCTCAGTGTCTCAGTAACATCATCAGGTAAAAATGGAAGGATGCTGGCCTGCTGACAACAAAGCCCCTGGCCTCTAGGACCCTGGGCCTTACCCCAAACAACTGGCTAGTCAGCAGGAGCCTGAGGCTTGGCAAGGGCTTAGGGGAGGAAGAGTGAGTGTAGCTGGGAATGTGGTCAGGGCAGGCTTCCTGGAGGAGGAGGCTGGGCAGAGGTCAGGCTGTGTGGGGGCAGCTGCCCATTACAAGGAGGCCTCTGAGTCCCATTAGGTCCTCTCGCCTGGTGAGCTCCTATGTATCAGGACTCCATTCAGGTGCCAGCTCCTCTGGGGAGCCGTCCTGAATTCCCCCTGGTTGTGCTCCCGTAAGCCCTTAGCCCCCTCAGAATGTCCTCCAGACCACCTGGGGGTGGCCCACTGCTGTTGGTGAAGGAATCACTGGGTAGAGGATCAGACCGGTTTGGTTGGGTTTGGCTGCAGTGAGGACAGTGGCAGTGGGAATGGAGCGGCAGATTTCCAAGACATGCAGGTCGGGCGACAGCTTACTCTACGTTACAAACTAGAGGTCTGGTGCATGAAATTTGTGCACTGGGAGTGGGGTTCCCTCAGCCCAGCCTGTGCCCTTTCACAGTCCGGGAGCCCTGCGATGGATTGCCCTGAAGAGGGAGGCCCTGCCCACCTGGCTGGGGCTCCGTGCTGGACCTCCCTCTTTGGGGCAATCGTGAGCCCCCCAATTGATCGATCGCCCTGCTGGCTGGTGGCCTGGGCCTCCCTCTGCAGGGCAATCATGGGGCGATGGCCGGGCCCCCGACCAATCACATCGCACCTGCCTTGGCTGGCCTGGCGCCAGTGGGTGTCATAGTGAAGTCGTCCAGATGGACGTTCCGCTGGTCGGCATTGGGTCGGTCTGCATACTGCGCTTTTATTATTATAGATACTTGCTGAGCATCTGCTGATGAGGGTGCTTAGCTTTGCTAACAAGATGGGTGTGTGGGGTGAGAGGAATCCAGCTGACCCTGACTCAGGCAT